GACGAAAAATAAGAATATTATAAATTTTTGGAAAATGGGCGTAGCCACGCCCACTTATGGTTACATGTGTATATCTTGGTAACCGCTGCACCAATTTCTTCCAAACTTGGCACAGTTGTTAACCTTGGTATAACATACGAAATGGCCGAAAATTTTTAAAATCCGACATTACCACGCCCACATCCCATATAACGGTAATTTAGAGAAATACGAAAAATAAATCAGTAATTATTGAAGCTAATTTATTCAAAATTGATGCTTGCAACAATTCTTTACCAAGAAATGCGTTTGTGATAAAATTTTGAAAAATGGGCGTAGCACCGCCCACTTGTGATCACATATATGTATCTCGGTAACCGTTCTACCAATTTGTACCAAACTCGGTGTGGTTATTGTGCTTGCCACATAGAAGCAAAACGTTGAAAATTATTGTAATCGAACTAAAATTACGACCGCTTTTCATATAACAGTGAATTTCAGAAATGCTTGAAACTTCAATATTTCGAAATTTAAGGACGCTAATTTACTCAAAATGGATACACCCCGCTTTACCATGTAGCGGTAGCTTTCGGAAAGGTGAAAAAACATATATTTAATATTTGCGCCGGGTATTTAATGTTCGGCTGAGCCCGAACTTAGATTTTCCTACTTGTTGTTTTTCATTTTTAAGAGCCGCTATTATATTTATGTTGTCCACAAATCCTTCTTCTATGACTGTAAAGTTTATAGTGTGTTTCAAATAAATGAAATTCTGTAAAATTGCGGTTTCGCCTGATGGTATCGGAATAAATAGAGCTGTTGAGTAATCCACGATTCTCGCTGCCACTAACGGCACAAGGACAACCCTGCAAGTAAATGTTCATTTTATATTATTTTTGTGAACTTGCTTGCCATCTATTCCTACCGCAGTCCCTAGATCCGCCTGAATAGCCTTTTCATTATAAAGTTTTGAAAATTTATTTCCCATTCTCCTATTACTTTTTACATAGACCATTTCACCTGGTTTAAATTCTCTTGGTTTTGTTTCTCTATTATGGTAACTTAAGTCCTTTTCCTGTTTCATTTTTAAACGATTCCTAATTTCTTCGCTATTATATTTATGTTGTCCACAAATCCTTCTTCTATGACTGTAAAGTTTATAGTGTGTTTCAAATAAATGAAATTCTGATAAAATTGCGGTTTCGCCTGATGGTATCGGAATAAATAGAGCTGTTGAGTAATCCACGATTCTCGCTGCCACTAACGGCACAAGGACAACCCTGCAAGTAAATGTTCATTTTATATTATTTTTGTGAACTTGCTTGCCATCTATTACTACCGCAGTCCCTACATCCGCCTGAATAGCCTTTTCATTATAAAGTTTTGAAAATTTATTTCCCAT